GTTGGCGCAGTTCTCATTTTGAGAACGTCACGTTACTCAAATTTTTAGCTTAGCTTGGGATTTATCGTCGATAGGGCACTTGTCCTTCCGGAATACCTCGACGTGTATATTTTCGGGTTTACATGATATATTTTTCCTGGCTTACTACATTCTCATTGCTAACAGACATATATTTGTATTTTGATAGCAACTGTCAATATATACTGGGTACCTTCGGTAGTAAGGCTTTCTTCAACATTTCGCAGTCTTCAGGACAAATACACACTCTGCACAGAGGCAGCCCCGCTAACACGAGGAGCCAGTTTTTTAATTGACCTTTATTATCAGGACGTTAAGCAAAACACATGCATAGTTTTAATGAAAGTTTAAAGGGGAATTTGAATGGCATGTTAAGGACGTTTCATCGTGCCCTACAGCTACTGGTAAAGTATATATATAGATATTTTGATTATTGTCGTTGTGGTGGGCAGATTTGGCGTGTTTTGGTAATGTAATAAAGACTGTTAGAACTAAATGTCTCATAGTATCTGTATAAGATTCTTGTGTTGTTGTTATTTCAATATAAGCAGTGAGATGCGTAATTTCAAATGCAAATTATTTATTTATTTATTTATTTATTTAAGCCATGTACCGTCATTAATTTCCATTGAATGTTGACTGAAAAAACTTCATCTAAAGTGAATTTTTTCTTGATATCTGAATTCCATCTTAATTTTACGACAATATAGAGCCATATCTATCCACACCAACTTTATTAGACTTATCTAATAAAAGAATTATTGTTTATTATTACAATTTAACATGTCCTTGTAAACATTTCCCAGTAATTTTTCGATTTAAAATACTTATCATGGTGTGACGTGTTCATTACGTAGAGAGTAGTGACTTACGAACTACAAATATGATATACGCGTGAAATTTACTAGCCTGTCCAAGCAGTGTTATATATCAGGGGAGATAACCTTTATGTCATGAAGATAATATTTTATGTCACCTTAGTGTTTAATGGTAGGGTATTACTTGGAGACCAGAGAAAAAATCAAAGTGAACTTTAATTTGAATATTTTTCTTCCATCATTCTGTGATGATTTTAGTGATTTTGTCAATAACTACTGTCGTGTTTGGTCCATTTTATTTCTTTTCTTTCCTTTTTTTTCTTTCATCTTTCTTTAGGAAATAAGACAACAAGACTATACATTGTTAATTTCGGTTTCCAAACTTAATCAAATTACGATGAATGAGGAAAAATCAAAGTTTTTATGTGTTGTTTGTGGTTGCTGAGATCTTATTGTTGAGTAGGGAAAGTTTACATTTATTATAAATGTATATATATATATATATATGTGTGTGTGTGTGTGTGTGTGTGTGTGTGTGTGTGTGTGTGTGTGTGTGTGTGTGTGTGTGTGTGTGTGTGTGTGTGTGTGTGTGTGTGTGTGTGTGTGTGTGTGTGTGTGTGTGTGTGTGTGTGTGTGTGTGTGTGTGTGTGTGTGTGTGTGTGTGTGTGTGTGTGTGTGTGTGTGTGTGTGTGTGTGTGTGTGTGTGTGTGTGTGTGTGTGTGTGTGTGTGTGTGTGTGTGTGTGTGTGTATACTGATCTCTGGGGAAAAGAAATAAGGTATGATCACTTAGACCGGGCCGAAACGACTAATATGAATTGACACGATTTGATACTTTACGAAATGGTATATCATTTTCAAAAATGATTTATCTTTAAAGACTCAAGTTTTATTCATATGCTACTTACTGTTAATTGTGATCGTCCGAATATTTTTTGGTGAATTATCACCCCGTCAATAGCTACGACAGGTTCTTCACAGAACAACATGCGGGAGGCCTGCCACATGATATCCAAACTAAATGGGGGTAAAGTGTCTTGCACAAGGACACAACTACAGAACGATCCGTGGTCTCCGTTTCCGGGGAAACACACACTTGTCCTAGTTATGGATTACAACATACACCTCCGACCTTGATCACCATTCAACAAATACAGATATTGTCTTTCTTGTTATTTCGCATTTTTTATATTTTCAAAATGCTGTTATATATTTCCAGCTTCACATTTTGTCTTGTTATACGTTAATAGATACATATGTATTTATTACATTACATTGATAAATGATCTATTCAAATGGCATTAGTTACGCATTTTTATTACGCCGTCAGATCGAAGACGTCACATTTGCGATCACTTAATGAAATAGTTTCAACAAATATATCAAATTATGTTTTATGCATTATTTGCAGCTGTTGGAAGAAGGGCAAAATATGTTGATATGTTACAGGCCTAGTTCAATGACCTCATAAGTTTTGATACATGGTCATGTTTTTTCTAACTTTAAACAATCGCAAGAAGCTTGTTTCAGACCCGTGATCTTCAACTTATTCAAGAATTGTATTCCTAACTGTGACCTTGACCTTGGGTCAGATGTTCGAAACACGACCCTATAAAAAGCTTCGTATACGACTTAACACTTCCACTGTGCATCAGAATCCGCCATGTTAGTAACGACACGTAACCTCTGGTATATATATGATATTCCTATTGAGATTTCTTGTGTGCGTCAAAGACAAAGTCTTCTCAAAGACATAATTACTTTTATGACAGTGTAATTCAGTCAATTCTGGTTTTACATTAAAATTCTTCTTTAGCTATTGACTATTATTCCCATATCGGTTGATTGTCTATGGACTGTTTTGCAATTCACGAGATTGATCAGACCGAGGAAACTGGAGTCATTGAAAGGAACTCAAGTAACTGTGTCGAAATGAATTTTCTAGATTAAGTAACAGTGGCCTTGACCTAAATTGATACCAAGTTTAATTAACTTGTAAAGTAATCCTGTAATAACAGCTGGCTCAGTCGGTGTGTGAAGTCCGAGTTGGATCGGTCAACGGGAATTTAGGTGTTGGAGTGCAACTTATTATTTTTATTTTGAAACAAATAAATCAACCGATCTTCTATTCAAAGTAACAGTGATGCTTACCTTTGACCTTTCATATCAAAATAGAAATCCCAAACGAGGCGTGTTGGTAGGCACTAAGTAATGTTTGAATTTTGACTTAATTGGAACCAAATGAACATGAGCTATTGGAAGGAGACAATTTCTTTCCATTAGTTGTAACAATGACCTTGACGTTTGTGTTTTGAACCCAACAACAATTCCAAACAAGCACTCCTGATAAGACAGCAGTATGTTTAGTTCGACCAATTCAAGTTGAACGTAAGTTATTGTCTGAAATGGGTGGTCACAAAATTTGGACCATTTAAAAGGGGAAGATTTTTTATTTAGCACATGTTCATCCCAATCGTTTGTTATACCGTCCGAGAAATGTGACCAATATCACTTCCGGTGACGTATAATTTTCTCGTTTATCTTTGAACATGTGCACGACGTTTATGCCTTCGACACTTACGATCACATATGCACTGAGGACCTTATTTACTTGTATTTATAAAAACTCAGTTAGAATTGACATTAGATTATATTTACTAACTATCATTGCATGTTCTTTAGTATTCTTTCTATCTTTGACTTGTATTATTGCTGTCAAGTAAATATGAATGGGTCTCGGGGGGAGGGATGTTGTATTGTTTATATGCAGCGCTGTCCCTTTATTTGTTAACACCTCAGCAAAATATTATACCTTATATTTTAGTTCAATTTCTTGGGGATTTGTATGTCGCCCTGCAAATCAATGATAACGTAAAATGTAATAATATACATAGTAGCAAAGCAAAGAAAATCTAGGAAAACTTGTTTCATAAGTTTCAGTAAATTCCGAATTCTTCTCCGAACAAAATGTCAATTTGGTCATTTAGATGCAAAGTTATTTAATCATTAAAGAAGTTGTTTCTAGTGTCAAATTAAAACTGATTCAGTTAAAAACGATTTTCTTCATCGGGGTGATGTTAAACGAAATGCCGATTTTTTTACGTTTGTATTCTTGTGTCGTTAGGCATAGTTTGGATTTTTTCTAATCCTTTTCGCTGAAAGACAGTATGATAACCTGGCAAAAAGAATGTAGAACTGGATTAAAATCATGCATTATAAAATGTATGTGTGTTAGAAAAGAATGTCCGAAACTCCTTCTTGTTTACACGTGATAAGTACCTGTGTTACTATATTTATTCTGAAATAGCTCCCAGTTATAAGATAAGATAAGATAAGATAAGTTTATTTCCGGTTCAGGACGTGCTTGAGTCCTCTATACCAGACTCAATAATACATGTTATAGTTTCAAGATACTATTTGAATCCTGGTTTGGAAAACAACTCTATCAATTTATAGCAAGAATTACAAGGATTCGTAAATGTAGCAAAACAACGGTATAAAAAGCGAAATCAGAGTCAAATGTAAAATTATTAATATGTGTATTTATAAGAAAAGATAACACACACAGGTACATTGCGGTTCCCGTTGTGGTGTTTATTGTATACTTTGGCGGGAAATCGCATGCAGTCGAGTTCATCATTTTTTATTACTAAGCGACCGCAGAACAGAAAAAACGTCCCCAAGGAGAACTATGAAATAAGCTTTAATTGCCGCTTTCATGAAATAGATACACATTTTTAATGAAAACGTAGACAAGATAAACTAAAATTGAGTCTGCGTTCATCTTATGATGATGAAAATATCCAAAGTTTCATTACCACGTGGAGTTCTTTCGGCTCATAAATTTACTATCTGGTCAACCATTGATGGTGTTTAGGGGAGACAGCTATTAAGCAGTTGAAAATAAAGTCAATCGGCGATATTTCTATAACAGAAAAAATGAGCAATTCTTGTATTAATAATATCAAATGAAAATGTATTCCAAAATGCATCATAACTTGTCATATGACATATCTTAGCGTCGTTTTTTAAAATTAATTATGGCGTATCTGATTTGCTTCTTTACCTCCTTTTGACAATGAACTCTCCGAAATCAGTATTACTACGCACTATACTCTCGAAGTACACCCCTTCTTTTTCTCTACGTGATATATAGTACATCACATTTACGTAAAATTTGGACCGTGAACAGTAATACTTACGAGTGACACTTGTGTAGGCAATGTTTCTTATGTCTTTCAGAGCCGCCAAGAATGTTTAGGGTGTATGTCGGTAATTTGAACCCGGAGGTCGATGAAGGAACGCTGCGTGGCCTGTTCGAAGAACGAGGAGTACAGACAGGCAACATATTGGTGAAGAGAAAATACGCGTTTGTCGACTGTCCAGACAAGGATAACGTCGATAGGGCCATTGAAAGTTTAAACGGTATGTCTTCTATCTTTTTTGTGATCGTTGTCACAATACACATATTGCTTTTTCGACAAACACTCAAAATACCAGCGTGCCGCCAGGAAAGCACATGGTTATCGTATTCAAAATGGCCGGTGCATGGATCAACTGCACCGGTATCATTGGCCAATTCTGGCAGATAATGGTATAAATAACTTTGCAAAACATAACATTTTATGCGCATTTTTTTCTGGTGATACTATCCAGAATATGCAACAATTTTAGCAAGGGAATTAAATCTGATTGTATGTGTTTTTGCTTCCAACGATCACGCCCCTGTGTGCCGGTGGAATGTACCGACAAGATGCTTGTTTGACCTCGAAGATGCCGAAAGAATAATTCAGACATGTCGTTGTGTTGCACTCGTGGCGTTAATGTGTACACTTATTCACAAGTGATAGCATTTTTATCCTTTGGAAATTACTACTGGCTTCGTTTCCTTTCTTTTTGTGTGTCTATTGCAGACACGTTACTTTATATGGGAGAAAGAAAACCATGCTTTAGTCAAGATGAATGAAATATTAACTTACCTCGTTTTGAAAATGGGTCAAATGAAATAAACAATGCCATTGACACGTGTGTATTTTTCGTCTACAATTCTCTCGTGAACAATTGACCACATTAGATTCATACATTGCAAGAGAAAAGTAGTACATTCTGGTTTTTGCATAATTAATCATATGCATGTTGATAGGTCATGCATGTTATTAATGAACCCTTGATCATGACCGTTTTTATTGTATGACAATGACTAATATAGTATCGCCATACTTAGGAATGATTTCCAAAATATTCATATGTACTCCATGGGGGAAAATTAATGGTAATTCCTACATACTAAAAGTGGCTTCACTTTACTTTAAAATAGGTTATAAAAAGTTGACATATTGATATATCAGGTTGGTTGTTCAGTAATTTGTTTGTCAGAAAAGCAGTTCAATTTCTCGGGTTTCGAAAGGGTAGTATTAAAGGTTGAATGCACTGGTGTGCCAGTGTGCTTGAACGCTCGGGTCCTAATCTGTTTATAATGAATAGCTAATTATCAGCTTATTTTTCTATTTTTTTATATTAGCTATCTCAGGGGTTTTTTTTGAGACAAGAGTAATGTGTATAATTTCCAGCATATTTCAGTCATTTTAGGAATCAAGATGGTAAAAGAAAATTAAATGTGAAAATATTGGCTATCTTGTTTCCTTTTTGGGACCAATGACCCCTTGATGACCTACATCTTAACCCCTGCTTTCAGAATTTGTAACAAGTGATGTGCGCATATATTATAAGAAATACAAAATTTAATACTTTACAAATTGTAGTTACATTATGTAATACTCTGAAGCTATATTTTGAACCCATTAAGTAATAGTGCATAGCACATATAATCTGGTACACTGTAGATACCTTTGTTTATATTGTAAAAGGATTTAGTATTGTTCAGGCTATTTTCACAAATTTTTGATCAGTTAAGTGTTTTACATTTTCTGTTGTGTATTATGATTGATTTTTAAAAGAAAATTAATGCTGGTTTGAATCTACATTGGACTTGCTTCAGTTTCCCCAAAGAGGAGAGTAGTTTTACTAGCACGACACAATCTGGACATAGGACAAACACTTTTTAATCCAATGTGACCATTGAAAACATACTGACATATCAAACCATGCTTTTATTCTTTTTGTTTCTATGATGTTTCAGGATACAATTTAATGGGCTCCAACATGCAGGTGGAACCATCAATGTCGCGTAGAAGGTGCGTAGGAAGTTCGCAAAATCCTTTGTTTTGCTACACCATGTTCCAGTGAAAAATCTGCCAGTGCTAACCTCTGTCAATAGTTCTTGCTACATCCTAGGCTTATACATTGTCAATGAATTTAGTTTCATTCAGTCTTATTAGCGTTTTAAGTAATTAATTTCGTTTTCAATGTGTTTGTGATGCATAATTACTGCACACGATTAAATTACACCGTGGTTTCCCACAGAAGGTCCAACAAGCTTCAAGTCAAAAACCTGCCACACCTATCCAGAGATGAGTTGGAGAGTTTTCTTGGAAGTTTTGCCAATTTAGAGAAGGTTGAACAAGGTTTGTATAAGATGTCAAAATTTCCCATTTTACCTTGTAAATATACATCTTCTTACTTCAAATGAAGTTAATTACTAACAAATTTTTCAACGGAAGGAAAGCAGGGTTCACGAAGAATACCTTGCTTAAAAGTGTTTGACTTTATGGGTTCTCATTTATACACAGCAAAGGGTTTTTACCTTCAAATTTCATCTTGTACCCTCTACTGTCTAGATTTTGTATCTGCAAAAGGCACAAAAACATTACAAATTGATCATTTTACCTTGAATTTTGAGCTTATGTAGTTAATAAAAGAAAAAGCAAAACTGCCAAATTGTAAAAGCTCTTATGGAAGTTTCAAAATGTGAATCCAGTGAATTAAATATATACTCATTCTCTTGAATTGATCACCAGTCACTAATGGGTATAATGTTAAGTTCATTCATTCTATGCATTTTTAGCTGAATTAACCATACAAAAATTGACACTGGGACCAGACTCCCAACACTTCCAACTAGCATAAAGATTTTATGAACCGATAGCCTAACAGGCCTAACCTAGCAATATAAATCAAAATCTTTACAAGTGATGAAAATATAGGAGTGTGGCATAAATGATTTAGGATATTGACTGAATTGCAATGTTCTGTTTGTAGCTGGAGCTGAAGGTCTTGTCTATGTACAATACAGCAATGCAGATGAAGCACAAATGTAAGCAACAGAAATTTTCAACATGATTTGTTTGTATTTAAAAAAGTCCATTGCCAATCATTCATTATTTACCAAAAAAACCCGGAAAATTCAGATTGACACTGTATAGTGATCATGTTTATTTTCTTTCCATACCTTTATTAACACGTGTCTAGCAAAATTTTCTGGTTGTTGCTTTGTGATGCTTTAGTATTTACTTGTATCTTTTCTCTTTTGCAGAGCATATAATCACATCAACGGTTATGATTGGAGTGGTACAGTATTAAAAGTAAGTGGCCACAGCAAATATGTTATTTCGCAGACTATTGTGATCGTAAAATGAAACTCGATATCAATTTAATGGCTGTCAAACACAAAATAAGTTGTTGTTGAATTTAAAACAGATATTAAATAGTCATGAAGAACTAAAATATCTGACTTGCAACAGAACTCAAGTAGTTTAATGTTTTGGCTGAAGAATTTTAATGTTTCTCTGCTTGCTACAAAATATCAAACCAGTCCAAGGCTAGTGGGCATTGGTTGTTGCGTTTAGGTTTTTGAAAATCTGGCAGTCTCGGGCAATGGAGTGGTCCAGTGGATTTTTCATCCCTGCATCAGTGACCGATTTTTAAAAAAATTTTTTACACTCGTTGGAGAAGGGGGCTATTATGTTACCACCATTGAAAACGGGGAATGGGGCATATAGTGTTATCCTCGCAGCTGTGTGTCCAACTGGATTTGGTACCCGCATCATAACTTTAGTTTGCCTCAATGGAACTAAATAATATTTCGCATGTTTGTTGAAATATGAAAAATGTAAACCAAGTTCGATTTTCACTAAGTTCTGGCAATTTCTACCAGAGTTATTCTCTATATACTTTGTTTTCTCTATTAAAATTATGCATAATTAAGTTCCTCATTGCAATCCATTAAAAATCAGGTTTCAGCGCATCAATTTCTAAAAGGTTTTCAAAAATTAAACATAACTAGTCTTTATATTTCAAATTTAGAAAGTTGACATCAAATACAATGGCTTATGTGTATTGTGTATTTAAAAGTGAATTGTATTTTTCAGGCCGACTTTGCCAGTAACAGAACCCGTAAAACATTACGAGAACCAAATATGTCTAACTCAGGTGGTGGTGGAGGAGGCAGTGGTGGTGGCAACGGTGGCGGCCCTAACCGTCAAGTAGAGATGCCACTACGGTAAACAAATTATAGCAATTTGATAGTGTTAATTAATAAGAATGAAATTTTATATTGTTAAGAGACGTCCAACTAATAAACAGATAAATGTTAACATTGAAATTATTATTCAGAAATTACTTAGGCGAATTGAAGGATGAAAATATTTAAAATGGTAAGTGACTGTTGCGGTCTTTTAAAGACCTAATCCGTCACAAAAGTTACTAGAGTTAAGTAAAAAAAATTTGCATTTCATCAAATGTTTTAAGCAAAAAGTATTTCATTTTTTGTGGAAATCATGAGAATACAGTCTGTTTAAGTATTTATCTTTTATTTTATCTATTCTTGATAGCAATTCATTTTTTGATAATAGCTAAGAGAGAATCTAATGGGAATAGCCATTTTTAGAGTATATCAACGAGTTTCTTTGTAGTTTGTGGTAGACTTGGGTTTAAAAAATTCAGAAGGGAATAATTGTCTTACTGAAGAAGTTTTCATTCAGAAGATGAATTATTGTGCACAATTCAAGTTCATTTCGATCTGGAAAAAGGAAATGAAGAGAGGTAGCACCAACATTTACAAACTATGATATAGAATTTATAATGTAATGTTCATTTGGGATAAGGGGCGATCTTGAAAGAAGGAATACAAAATGAATAATTCATCTTTTTATTTTCAGTATACTTGTAGGCAGTGAATTTATCGGTGCCATTATTGGTAAACAGGGACAAACAATTCACAACATTACCTCACAAACCAAAGCAAGGTAGGTAACTCGAAATGAAAAATAAATATTCTAGGTATGAAGACAAGTGAACATTAATTCTGCTAGCTTAGAGCAATGGGTCAGCAATTCTTTCATCAATGCAAATAAGATAGGTCATCCTAGGCAAAATTAATAGAAAAAGGAAAAATGAAGAAATCATTTTCAATTGGCCCCTTCCTTGATTACTCCTGCATTACATTTCTACACATCCAAAGTCCAAATTCTGATGTCACAACAATAATGGACTCTCTGAACATCACGCTTAGGATTAACAGATGGATGTTGAGAGTATTGTGTAGTAAAATTTCTCACTAGTGAGTGATTTCCGTCATTTCAGAGTGGATATTCACCGCAGGGATGGTCAAGCAGTATCAACTGAAACTGTAAGTACAATAAAGTGCTTTGTACACCTTTTTCTACCCAATTTTTTACCTGTATGTTTCAAAATTGCTTATTCAGGACTTGGTTATGATGATTGGATACGTGTGGAGCAGTTTCACTGGAATGACAAAAGTATTACCGCCCCAGTCTGATGCCTTAACTACTGAATAAGCATTGAATTTATAAAATATAATCAGATATTGTGTCTCTTTTGAACATTGAATGTTGTTTAGGAGGTTGAAATCAAAGTTATTGTGTTTTTGAGCAGAATTATTTTTGTGTTGCTGTCCTAGGTTTCACCTTTTTCCTGAAATTCTAAAATACATTTTCATAACATTTTGTTTACAATAACTCCCATATCAATCATTGATATTGAAGTTTGATATGCTGATGTTATTGAACTTTTTGAAGTTGACTAGTGAAATTTAAAGCTGTATTAAGTAAATTATGTTTTGTAGCCAATCACAATAAAGGGCAGTCCAGAGAGCTGCTCAGAAGCCTGTAAAGAAATGATGACAATAGTTCAAACAGAAGCCCAGAAATACAACAAAGGGTAAATTTAGTAACTTCATTTGTAGGGTAATTATTATGCTTTTGTTGAACCGGTTACCTCACTTCTTACACCAAGAAAATCGTATTAAAGTTGAAATAGAGAATCACTTTGAGGAATGGAATTTCGTTTGATGATGTTTTGGTCACTCAAATTTTTCAGTGGTTAAAATTCCTGCATGTTGCATTCTTGACATTCCTTTACAATTGATACCATTGTCTGTGTATTATAAAAGAAAATACACATCAATTTACTAGATGGTACAAAAATAATATCGGTCTCTCTGGTAGAACATAAACCAGAACCAGCCCATAAGACCTGGAAAACTTTTTGAAATTTGCAACACTTTTCTCTTTTTTTGCAGTGATTACCCATTCAAAATTCTATGTCCAAATCATTTATGTGGGCGCATCATTGGAAAACAAGGCAATGTCATTAAAAACTTCATGGACAAGACAAACACACATATAGTTGTATCCAGGTATGTACATATGTCTCAAATGATATCCCAGTATAATTCTCTGTTGACAGAAAACTGATTATCCATAAGAAGAGGAAAAAATATTAATAGGATAATCACATAGTCATGGGAAATATTGAGCTTGTTGATATTTAGTTGTGAAGAAAGAAGGGAAACACTGTTGACATGAAGTTTAAGAGAAAATCAGAGTTAAATGTTGATATTGAAATGATGATTGGAAGAAGGAACAGTGTCACTGTACTGACTGTCAACCAACCGCCCCAGTCTGATCTTGAATTGAAACAAGAGAAAAACTGTCTTAGATTGGGAAATTCTGATTGCTATGTCATGAAATTAATAGTGTTTTATCTTCTGTATAGATACTGTATTTGAAACTTAACAAAATTGTCTAGAAAAAATAGAAGTACTGGGCTGTTCTTTTATTGCAAGAAGCTAAAAAATCCTACCCCAGAGCATGAGGAGTTCAGTTGAATATTTGATTGGGGGATGTAGTGAACAATTTGCCGGGTTGTTATCAATTATTGTGATTGATGCTGATTTAATCAGGTGCGAGATATTTTCTTTCTTTGTCTACATTTAAAATTTTTGGGAAGCAAATGATCTGCCTATCTCAAATCATCATTGTCGCACCAGTAATCTTATTTCTGTAAGAATCTCTATAAAACTTTATATCTCATGTATTAACTTATGTCAGTTCATAACATCCAAAACAAATCTCAGATTAAGGTTAAGGTCACAATTACTGTATATAAAAACCTTGTCTGATATTGATTCTAATTTACAAGGAGTGGGGCATTATGTCTTACATTTTCTTTTTAATATTTGTACTAATGTATATTTACAAGTGGATTTTTGAAATCCCCTATCATAATTCTGTGGCTAAAACCATATACCCAGTATATTTGTGCTTTTTCTTCACTGTCGCTTGAATTTCTAGTTTCACTCAATTTCTATTAGATTCCTTCTAACAATAAAAAGAATTGTCTTTATTTTAAAGTCACACATCTAACAATGAAAGTAGACTAGCCACTTAAAAGTATTTTAATTCAGTATGTATGGAAATTCTGCTTGCTTTAAATTGCTTTCTGGTATTGTTTGTTTTCCCTTTTTAAAAAGAAAGTAAAAACTCACAATTGCAGTATAACAAAAAAAAAACATTTTTGTCTTCCAGTGCCGGAGGTGGCCAGGGGTAAGATTTAGATTTTGACAAAAAAAATAATGTTTTTCTTGCTTACCTTATTTCTTTAAAAAATGAAGTAGAATCATTTGGCTCTAACTGTGCAAGTTCAGATACCCCTGATCAACTTCCTTCAAATTGATACATTTTATAAAGCAGAAAGTTTAATTGAATTGAACATAATCATCTTTTCAGTAGTTGAAATATCAGAGCTGACAAAAAAGAAATAAAGTTCCCGAACCTGTTACTGGGTATATGACTTAAGCTATAGGTATAGAGGATAATTTTTAGTAAATGATGATTGGATGATGGAACAGTTAAGCTGTGATGACATTACTACTGCCGCCCCAGTCTGATGCTATCTGCATATAAATTACTTTCCTCATGTAAAAGTAAAGTGCTGAAATATCTGTTTAATGTGTCAATTAATTTTGCTCTTTTAAAAAGTCAGGACATCAGTTTGACTTCTTGAAACTGAAATTGTTTGAACTTGTAGTGTGGCTGATGCAAATAACATGTATGTGGATCGGGTTGTGACCGTAACTGGATCAGTCGAAAATGCAAGTCAAGCAGAGAGCCTGTTGTCAGAGAAAATGAGAAGGTGTTTCGATCAAGATCAGCATGGATATATGGTAAAAGATGCTTAGGATGTTGTATATGAATATTTCTCCTATACCGGAGTTTAAAAAGGTGTATAGATACCTGTAATGCGGGAGAAACTTTACATAAAAGGATTACCAAACTGACAAGAAATTTTGTTTCTTTGCAACCAGATATGCTCCGACAGTTTGGCACATTTTCTTAACTATTATTTAGTTGAAACAGGGAGCTGTAATTATATTTTTATTATTGTCCACCTGATTTCAAACTTGATCAAAAATGTTGAAAATTTATTATTCACAGTACTTAATCTGACAGCATTCCACAGGCAAAGATTACTTGAATAATTAGGAATAATTGACTTCACCCTATTTCATTCTGAAAAAAAATGACTGCATGTTTAATGTAAAGCTTTTGTTGTCCCCTCTTGAGAAATGTTAGGGAAGAGGATAAAGGGATGTTCCCGTATGTAACACTGATCATTGTCGGAACTCTAGCAGCTAGATGCAGAAAACATGGACAATTGCTTTTCTAATCAAACCATGGAAATATGTAACATGGTGGTATGGATATCTAAACCAACCAGGTGCATTTTTGGTACAAAAACTTCTGGTTTAAGTCCTATTGAAACATTCTTCTCTCTCTTGGGAAGACAAAGTTTTGGGGTTGAAAGTGATAATGCTGTATTTATTTTACAAAATTCTCTTTGCAATGTTTTACAATGCATCAACACTTTAATATAACAACATTATATCCATGGTATTAAGATAATATTTGAGGTTGTTGGAGAGGAGAGAGACATCAATTTTTGGGTATTTTGCATTTTGCTTGAAAATAACCATACTAAAAAAGGAGAAGTGAGATATAGTTCATTTAATTTATGTAGAAATTCTTTGTCGGCAATCCAGCAGCGCACTTCCTTGAAGAATTTTTATCAAACTTCCCTTGCTCCATCATTTTCTATCATCTTCATTGCACATCACTCATTGTTGAATTGCAAGGGGACTTACATTGCTTGCAGTGCCATGTTTGTTTTGTGCTTGTAATAAGCTTTTAATGTGCAAACATTTTGGTGATGACATGAATGCTATAATCTCCTTGGAAAGGGGAGTCTGTGAGAACATTTATGAAATAACTGACGAAGTTCAGTATACTAGAATAGTGATATACTGTTGTATTTCATGATGCCGGATCAATTTCTTCATTTAAAGTTCAAGTGAAGTTGTTTTTACATCATTTTTTGTTGAAAGCCATGCAGAGTTTTTTGTAATTCTAGAATTGAAAGTTTATTGATGACTTGAATTCTTGCAGGGACAGATCAGCATGTTTGGTGGGATGCCCCCCATGGCTCCAGGAATGATGCCAGGTTTCAGTAATTACCAAGGAGTAAGGCCACCTTTTGGACACTACCCACCGCCCATGGTAAATTTCCAAAATTACCCTTCCTTGTTCTTAATCTCAATCCTACCAAGAACATAAATATATACACGCCATATTTTCCAGGTTATAAGATTCACTGGTATGCAAGTCTTGGAGTCAGTTTTTAGCTATTTTTTCCCTTTCCTACGAAGTAGTAACCATTAAGTAGACCAAAGTTTGTTGATACAAGAGACAATGGAGGGCAATTTATCAAGATCGTCAATTCAATGAAACATTGAAGAAAGATTGCAAATTCATTATGTACAGATAATCCTTTATTTTGTTGATGTATTTCAGGAACAGTTAAATAGAAAATATCAAACTTGTTTGTCTTCGATGTCTGTACTATTAGGTATTAAGGAAGGCCCTTGCATGCTGACCAAATTCTTACAGTCCACATTATTTCTTGTAAGTTATAAGAAGCCATTTATATCCTAAACAAGTGTGGCAATTCTAGAATTTGACCTATAATCTGATTACCTTTTGATCCCAAGATGCAAAAGGCAATTGAAAGCTCCTGCTGTGGCTTCAAAGTAGCCATGAAAGTCCAGAAGATATTATTGTGGTTCATATTTTAAGATATGATTAATTAAATCTACAAGAATGTTATTTTTATTTAAATCTTCAAATCATCTTTTATTTGATTGCAAATGATGATTCTAGATGATCTGTTTCACAAACATGAGACGGGCAGGTACTCAGTACCGTCTTGTACTGGTATGCTTCCTTTTTCATTTTCTCTAATACACCTTTGCGCTACCAAAACTGCATATATATTAATAATTGGCCAGGTACTGCCAACAGCATATCTATATATCTATGATTTGCACACTGACCTTAGTTAGACTGAAATAGTAACCCAGGAATCCTCTCTCCTCAATTAAGAATGGATCGGCACAAACCGATTTACTCTGATCAGCTGAATGAGTTTCCTTTTTGATTTATTGTGACTTGCATCTACCTTAGGAACTTGAGAGCTTTCATGTTTTTATCAGAAGGCCAGCAAGATGGCATCCCCTGTTGCAATTTAGTGACCTTGATATTAATGTGGAAATACATTATTGATTTTAAAGGGACTAAATGGTTAGGTTTCCTAACTTTTTTCCCATGAGTTTGGTTTTGGGCAAGCATTGTAATATTTAAAATTAGATTTTTCACAAAATTATATTACTTTTTTAGAAAAAAAATTATGAAGATTATCAGCTTTTAAGTTACACTGGTCAACACTCTTTGATGTGTATCTTTGTTGTGCATGCTCAAAGACATTGTTTATACTCTGCAAACAATAATGATATCAATAAGTGTTGGGTCGCTCCTATTTTAATCAGTTTTTTTTTTATGTTTGATTAAAATGGTTATGGATTTATAACTTTCAAATATCGTAACAGAAAGTGCACAACTTTTTAATAGATATTTAAATGTTATGATACTTTTAATCAGTAATGAAATAAAAATCTACCTATTCAGTCTCTTTAATAGTTCTGTTGAAAGTGAAAACTTGATTGAGAGATGGGGAATACAGGATTGACTAGATCATACAGAAGTTGTAATAGGGTTCCTAAAGATCAGATGGTGATTTGTCACATACTTCTCGAAATGCTGTTATTGTTATGTTATTGATGTGGTTCCCTGTGTAACACAATTTATAGTAATTGAACCTTTGTGTTAAGGTTACCTGTGTATAAAGACCACTTTTCTCTGCTTCCTTGAGTATCATGTATAGCCAGGTTGATATTAATAGCTTGTTCAATTGAATTGAATGATTGAGTTTGCAAGTTTACAGCTTTGAACAAGAAGGCATTCAATTAAAAATAAAAGATATCCCTTGGAAAGCGTTAAAATCGTTGCTGAACGTGTACCTGGACAACTTACTTTTTCTGTTGACTGAATGAAAACTATTGATATTGTAGCAACAAGAAGGTTACTACCCTGGAGGGATGGGATATGGAGGCAATGCACCTATGCCACCACCAGAACTAGAGGTGACCTACCTATATGTTCCTGAGAATACTGTTGGATCTATCATTGGAAGCAAGGGTGCCAATATAAAGGATATCAGTAAATCAACAGGAGCAAGAGTGAAGGTACCCAGTTTTGGATGTGGAGTACAGTATGTTGGCATGTGGCAAAATAAAGGAGTAGTTTGATTGTGAAATGGTAAAAATTGGACAATAGCTTAAAAAGAAACAATAGATCTAAGACAATGATGATCTTTTTTTTTAAACTCTTTAATTCAAAATTTCTTACTCTTTTTCATGTTAAGCATCAAGAAGAGCATTACTCTTTGTTTTTACTTTTTAAATGTTTCTAACCAAGCTCTGTAAGGACAAGTTCTTCTATATCTAGCCCACCTCGAAGGCAGATTGTTGGGAGATTTTCAGAGTGAAGCGATCAATATAATTTTTTTTTACAAAGACCTTTTTCGTCATGAAAAAAAGATGTCACAGTGTTGTGAATGTTATTGCTCTTTCAGATTATCCAGCCAAATGCAAAGGAGTCCAATGGTGAGAGGAATGGGCAAAATATCCAAGAGAGGCGTTGTATTATCACAGGTTCTCCAGAGGCCCAGTTTCAGGTAGAACATAAAATTGTTGGATTTCTGATTATCCATCAGTGATGTCTGAATTGGTGGAATTGGATGAAATGAGAGATGAAAACATTATGAAGCATAAAAAATTTGTTTAAATTGTATCTATTACAAACAAATTAAGATTTTCTATTTAAACTGTATATAAGATTAAGCATATATGATATGATGAGCATTACGAGTTCAAAATTCAGATTTATAAAATTCGCAAGATTTGTGTGGTAAATGATGATTGGAAATGTGGAACAGTTTCACTGTTATGACAGTAATACAACCGCCCCAGTCTGAAGCCATATTTTTCATTCCAAATGTGAATAATTCAGCCATATTGGTAAAATGCACACTGCTTTTGACTTTTTCTGGGGATGCCTTTTCAACTTAAGCAGCTATTTCATGATACTGAGCAAAATCTTACATTGAAGCTATTTGAAAATTTGTTGAAATGTGTTAGATTTGTTGGATCAGATTTTGAATCTTACTCAGAAACTCTTAGCCAAGACATCAATTGTATATTGTGCAGGGTTTTCAATAATTTTGTTAGTAGTAGGCTGTGTAGTGAAAGTAGGAGGCTGGCCTGCCAGTCACTAGAACTTTGTACCTGGTGTATGGGTTCACCTACGCGAGATAGTGTGGTGATGGAAGACTAAGTCTAAGACCAAGTCATGTTGCTGATAACCTTCTTATAAGTAAAAAAACCAATACAACAAAGTCTTCATTTTTATAAAAAAAAAAAAATTCTGTTCATTGCTGCAATATTTTTATTGTAAAAGTATTTCAGACAGAATTTTAGTGACAAGCAGATATCCTGATCAGGGTTTGGATAACAATGGTTTATGATGATTGGAACTTTGGAACAGTTTGACTGTGTTGACAATATTACTACCGCCCCAGTCTGAAGCCAGAATATCTTCCTGTAAATACTTGCATGCAAATGATATTGCTCAAGTTATGAATGTGTCTTTGATTTAGGAATTTGACTAGTGTTAGTTATTTGATATATATAGAATGTATGTCTAGAGGAAATTGGCTGTGACACTGGAATTGGTTCTTTAGTGTGTATTTTGTATGCTGAACATATTTGTAGTGTTTAATGATGTGTTAAAGAAAAATATTTTCATGGAATGAATCTACAAGAAAAATGTATATCATTTCAAAGTAATTTAAAACATTTCAATAAGGAAAGGGCTCTGGGGTCTGATGCAATTCAAATTCAGAGTGTTTCCAATACACTAAGAAAATATTCATCAAACTATTGTGTGATGAGGTATGATAACTGGAATCATGGAACAATTTGACTGTAGTTACAAGAAAACTTGCACCCTCAGTTTGAAGTCAGATCATGTAATAATCCTATACATTATTTTATAGTGACTTTATCCGAAATGAGTTTATATTTCAGGGTTTTAAGGTGTAGCTATTCAGATTCTATAGCAAATTATTGATAGTCTATAGTTGGGTTGTGGAGAGACCTGTCGTGATATTATACTTGTTCATCTGGTCAGCCCCCTGATGTGTATGATGGTATTATTCTGCATTGTTTATCTCGGCCAAGATCTAGCAGCAGTATTTGTTGTTGTAGGCACATTTCCAGATTTTCGACCGCATCAAGAAGGAAGGAGGTTTCTCTAGAATGGAGGATGTTCACCTGAGATCAGAAGTCATGGTACCAAAAGGCATGATAGGACGAATCATAGGAAAAGGAGGCCAAAATGTAAGTTATACATACTACTTCAGTTATTTGAGGGATCCAAGGTGTTGAGCCAGAATTTAAGGTTTTGCAGATCTTGTTCTTGAACTTTGGTGTCTTGCTAAAACAGTAAATGATACCAGTGGAAGGTCAGCTTGGTTAGTGAACCAAGCCACTGCATGGTAAGGATCCTTTAAGAGGTGGTTACCTGATCATTAAAAACCCGAAGTTACAAAGTTCTATAGCTGTACACTATTAAACAGCAATAATGAATGAAGTAATAGTTGGCCAACAGATCTGTAAACTAGATCAAGTTGACACTTCTATAACTTAATATGATCATATGTAAGTTAACAAATTACATTTGCTTGAGGTTAGTCTCTAGAAATGATACAACAGTTTACTTTCAATGACATCCTTTCATTTATGATATCATAATGCTAGACATTATAAAACAGTATTCTTTGATATCAATTTAAATTTATTGTTACATAACAAATAATGGATTTTCAGCCATTTAATTATGTACCTTTTGTCCACAGGTCCGTGAAATACAGAGAGTAAGTGGTGCTATTGTTAACCTGCCAGAACTTAACAATCAAAATCCCTCAGAAGATGGAGAGGTACCCGTCTCCATCATTGGTCATTTCCAAGCCATGCAGGCAGCCCAGAGACGTGTACGGCAGCTAGTATCCAACTCATCAATTCCACCTAAACGCAGGCCTAGTCAGCGTGAGCAGAATGGCAAACAACAGATGTAGAGCTGCTCACAAGTGAACTTTGACCCCAAGGGCCATTTAGGGTCAGGACATGAGATGCGTAACACCAGAACAAGTTGGCTGCGAAATGATAAAATTCTTTCCTTCCTTTTATCTTGATCTTAAAACAATGTCCTTTAAGCTGCTCTCATTCTCTCCCAGTGTTTCGTGTCAGTTAACTGACATGGTTAACCAAAACGTCCTTTGTTATGTCAAAGGCATCAAAATAATTCACTGCATTCTATTAGATCTTTTCTTGCTCAGAATTGAGTAGGTATTTCGTGTGACCAACTTGGAGGTTTGCGGTAGGATGAGAGAGATATATTTATTATACCTAGTGTATTTAAGTTGGAACAAATTTTAGACCATTGTTGATGTTTTCAAATATGCTATGGTCTTTTTTTGTAATAAAATTTATTTTTGATACTTGTTGAGGATTTTTTGTTAGAATTTTTATGACCTGTTTAATATGGGCATTTTTATTTGTCCGATTAATATTATTAAAGAGGAAAATAGTAAAAAAAAAATAACAAAAACTGAACCACTTCCAGCAATTAAGCAAATTCTAAATCAGGTCACAAAAAAAGTTTTGCCCGCATATTGATTGTTCATTATGTATTTTAAGTGTCTGCTTGACTTCTTCGCTCACAAATATTTTATCGGAGAGTGTGATGTGAAGTTAATGTGAATGGTAACTTAGCGTTGCTTCTCTCCGCCTGTTGTTATATTGTTCTCAGTGCTATAAATACTCGTTGGGAGCGAGGCAGCCAGGCACACACTCTTGGAAAGTGGACAAAATGGAAATGGGCATACAATTAACTGTAATGAACTTACATGCTGCAAATATAGGTCCTCCTCAACTTGTAATTTAACATGTAACAAATTTCTTTCTCTGATAGCAGATTTTTGTCTTATGATTTAAAGGGCAGGGATTACAAAATGGATGTTTGTGATAACTTTTGAAGTCCCCCGCTATTATATAAATCAAAGAGCAGGGACAAGTAATGAAAATCGTTTCCCCTTCTGCAAGGTATTTCCTCCAAGTAATTTCAACTTAATTCAAAAGATGGCAGTACCATTTTGATGCCTTTTCTTGAAAGGTTCAAATAGACGACATGCAAGTACACTGCATCGTTAAAGGATACTTGTCATCACCTGGTCCTAATATCACGGGAGATAATGTGGACACTTTACAATTACATCAAAATGTGGAAAGATTTAATAGCAAAAATTCATTGTTATTTTTTTTTTTTTTTTCGTTACTACCAACATGTATGTGTTGTCAATACTGTCATTGACATCTTGTGTAAAAACTATGATCTATATATATAGTTATACATTGAAGCATTTTGTATCTAGCAGGTTTTTTTTCCTTTTAGTTATTGAATAAATTTTTTTGCAACTGATATGTGCCGAAGAAAGTAATGAATATTGAATGATGTTAAATGTTGAACAATTGGTGATTCAAATTTGGGTAAGAAAAAAAGAAAATTACTAAAAAAAAAAAAAAATAATAATCAGCATACATTTAACTTTTTGTTTTCACAGTTTTGTGTTTGAAATCTTCAAGAGTCAAGTCAATGTTGAAGTTCACTGTTTTTGACCATTTATGGTAGTTGGGTTATAAAATATTGTGCTAGTTTTCATTCAGAGTGTTGTCGATAATACCTGTTTCATTTTAGTATGGATATTACACAATTGCAAAGAGCCAAGTCTTGGACGCTGTGTACTCGTATAAATATTATCTTGTACTTTTTTTTAGACTTTTTCCTAAAACAATTTGCCCCCATACACCCTTTTATTATACACTGTATAGCAAGATGCATTTTATGTTGTACTTTTTTTTCCTTTGACAAATCCTGAATATGATCAGCTGATGATGAGTAGCGATAAAATACCAAATGAACTTCACCACAAAATGCCCGTTAATTTTCGCACCATTGTGACTGCTCTGGTGTGGCCAGTACTGTTTAACCTATATATAACCAATTTGCTGAGTCAGTCACGAAATGTGAGGTACGAAAGTTCCGGGCATTCACAGAGCAGCATTCAGACTTGGTGTTTCTACAATATAGACGGCCAGACCGGGCATACAGTTCATGTCAACTACCTCATTACCCACGAGGATTGATTTGTGTAAGGCATTAGCATTTTACCACTGTAGATTGTATGTGTTTGTGATGTTCAAGACTTGGCTCGCCTCGCCAGCTTTTGACAGGGCATTTCTTTGTTGATGACGTAATATGCAATGTAGACATTTGTCAATCATATAACCTTTTATGACTGTAGTTTCTGCTTAGTATGAAATATGGAAAATACCAATAGATTTTTTTTCCATCACTATACACAAATATTGTCAAATGTATAGTTTAACTTTTTTTGAGAACTTTTTTGAGTTGATCTGTTTCATTATACAGACTGGTACATAGAAAGCAGTATTGCATGTGATGTATCCATCTTCAGTTCTCGTTTTCTTTTCTCCTGTGCCGAGACATTTTGTGTACATGATGATGATGATGATGATGATGAGTTAATCTTCGTATCTTATACCAACATGATGACGACAGGGATGACTGTTGACCTCAACAACAGAATTAACTTCACTATCTGCTAATTGATACTGATACAATGTAGGCCCGGTATACACCGTGTACCGGTGTGTGGGAAGTATGACCAGCACGCTGTAGCAGACTGACTGACAGGGACAGAATACCTAGTAGGATCAACACTGCTGTATCTGTTCTTGTCAATTTGCAATATAACTTCTGTTTGTCTCCCTTTTCTACCAGGAAGATTAAAAGTATTCTAGTTTATGCCTTGTTTTTGTTGTATTTTCCCCCTCGCAATACTTTCTAAATATTTTGTACATTTTGACATATTGTGGTTTGCAGGAATTGCTATCTCAAGTATCATAACTGGGTCATTTCTTTTATAAATGCTTACCCTATTTTCAGGGTTATAAACCACAACCCCATCCAATGAGCAGCATCTTTGACCCTGAAAATACGGTACATATCAAAAAAGTTTACTGTCAGTTGCTGTATATTGTTGCAACTAAATACATCTTGCTCAAACCACTGCATTATAACAAAGTTACATAAGCATTAGTGCTTAATTCTGCTACAGATTGATAAAAGTACCTGCCATGTTCATTTTTATAAGTAAATACTCTAAAGATTTATAATGTACAGATGTCCATTACTTTGCACTGAACAGAACTGATGTATATAAAGGGAGATAAGTCCAAATCACAGGAAATTGTCATCGTGTTGATAAAATATTAAAACCATATTGGAATATACTGGTCCCCTTTTTAACCCACAATCATCAGATGATTGGCTTTCATTAGATGGTGCATGGATGGTCATCGGTCTGTCCATAAACAATTTTTGTTATCGCTTTTTCTTGAAAAGTAAGTAAATTTAATATGTAGGTTCCCTTTGGTCTCTAGTTGTGCCCCTTTAATTTTGGGACTGATCAGAAAAACAAAATGGCCAAAAGGCAGCCATTTTGGATTTTGACTTTGCAAGTTTGTTATTGCCATATCTTGAGAACTACTGAATAGGTACAAAAATTCTGAGCATAATGGATTTGTGTTTGTCATTCAGAAAGAAGCCTTTAAAAGTGGAAACGTGCACCAAGTTCATATTCAGCTTTTGAAAGTATACTTCATAATAGAAAAGTAATGGCCATGCCAAATTTTACAACCTTGATGTTTAACCTCCTACATTGTTGGAAAAACCACTGACCAGACTCCGAAACTTGCTCTAAGGAAACCTTTGTCACTCATGAATCTTTGGCATTTTAGAACCCGTGCAAATGACTTTTGGTCGGAGATTTTCCTACACCTCAATTGGGTGCAAGTTTGGTGACATTGCACTAAGCAAGATCTGACATTGTCAACCATTAGGATAGTTAGGCAGATCAGCAAATAGATGGGCATCGAAATGTGGAACATTCAAAGTTCGAAGAGTCAAACCCCAGTATTTCTGCCAATTTAAAGTTCCATAAAGGACATGCAAACAAAGGCTAAGTTTAGAGAAAATCATTCCCAAATAGTAACACTGCCACCACCAAATGCTGTTGTGCCCAGAATGTGATTCTAATGGTATGCCAAACACAGACCCTGCTGTCTTGAAGACTAAGTAAAAAGCATCTTTCATCAAACCAGTAGACTCTTCGCCCAGATTTGTCCAGTGGTCACATGCCCATTGCAGTCTTGCGTGTTTGTGCCGGTCACAGAGCGCGTAGTCACCTGTTGTTCACACAATTGATGGTATACTTTTGTGAACATTAACTTTCCACTGCTCTATGTGCCTGAAGACATTATTGAACAGGGCTTGCCTTGCACATGTACACAAAAGTCTATCTTCTCTATCTGTATTCTTTGGCACAGAGACTTGGTTTCAAGATTTTTGAGTAATATATGACATTCCTTGATCAGTCCGCAATTTAATTTTTAACATGATCACAAAAGAGAGTCAGAATCTCCAAGGATCAGCATTCAGGCAATGTTTTATATAGTTTATACCAACACCATAGTTATAAATTGATGGAACACTTTCTACTAACTTGCATATGTGCCTGTGCTCGTAAACCAAAGTAAAAAAAATGAAAAATGAAAAAGTAAATTCTCACGAGGTTGGTTAGAATAAAAGACATACAACCACAAGAAAAGAGAGATTCCACTCCGTGGTGGCATTTGTAAATATGCTGGAGAGAAAAGTTGTTAAGGAAAATTGATGGAAATACTTTGTTACATTATATAATTGCCTCGACACATATGCAAGTTAGAACAAAAGGGTGAAAGGAAATCAGTTCTATCTTTTATGCTGAAATTGATTGTCCCTACCTTATAACGAAGTGTATAAATTAACTAAAGACAAAGTCAGCTGAAATTGATTGTCCTTACCTTATAGCCAAGTGTATAAATTAACTAAAGACAAAGTCAGCTGAAATTGATTGCCCCTACCTTATAGCCAAGTGTATAAATTAACTAAAGACAAAGTCAGCTGAAATTGATTGTCCCTACCTTATAGCGAAGTGTATAAATTAACTAAAGACAAAGTCAGCTGAAATTGATTGTCCCTACCTGTCCTAGCCAAGTGTATAAATTAACTAAAGACAAAGTCAGCTGAAATTGATTGTCCCTACCTGTCCTAGCCAAGTGTATAAATTAACTAAAGACAAAGTCAGCTGAAATTGATTGTCCCTACCTGTCCTAGCCAAGTGTATAAATTAACTAAACACAAAGTCAGCTGAAATTGATTGTCCCTACCTGTCCTAGCCAAGTGTATAAATTAACTAAACACAAAGTCAGCTGAAATTGATTGTCCCTACCTTATAGCGAAGTGTATAAATTAATTAAAGACAAAGTCAGCTGAAATTGATTGTCCTTACCTTATAGCCAAGTGTATAAATTAACTAAAGACAAAGTCAGCTGAAATTGATTGTCCCTACCTTATAGCCAAGTGTATAAATTAACTAAAGACAAAGTCAGCTGAAATTGATTGTCCCTACCTTATAGCGAAGTGTATAAATTAACTAAAGACAAAGTCAGCTGAAATTGATTGTCCCTACCTTATAGCGAAGTGTATAAATTAATTAAAGACAAAGTCAGCTGAAATTGATTGTCCTTACCTTATAGCCAAGTGTATAAATTAACTAAAGACAAAGTCAGCTGAAATTGATTGTCCCTACCTTATAGCCAAGTGTATAAATTAACTAAAGACAAAGTCAGCTGAAATTGATTGTCCCTACCTTAGAGCGAAGTGTATAAATTAACTAAAGACAAAGTCAGCTGAAATTGATTGTCCCTACCTGTCCTAGCCAAGTGTATAAATTAACTAAAGACAAAGTCAGCTGAAATTGATTGTCCCTACCTTATAGCGAAGTGTATAAATTAATTAAAGACAAAGTCAGCTGAAATTGATTGTCCTTACCTTATAGCCAAGTGTATAAATTAACTAAAGACAAAGTCAGCTGAAATTGATTGTCCCTACCTTAGAGCGAAGTGTATAAATTAACTAAAGACAAAGTCAGCTGAAATTGATTGTCCCTACCTGTCCTAGCCAAGTGTATAAATTAACTAAAGACAAAGTCAGCTGAAATTGATTGTCCCTACCTTATAGCGAAGTGTATAAATTAATTAAAGACAAAGTCAGCTGAAATTGATTGTCCCTACCTGTCCTAGCCAAGTGTATAAATTAACTAAAGACAAAGTCAGCTGAAATTGATTGTCCCTACCTTAGAGCGAAGTGTATAAATTAACTAAAGACAAAGTCAGCTGAAATTGATTGTCCCTACCTTAGAGCGAAGTGTATAAATTAACTAAAGACAAAGTCAGCTGAAATTGATTGTCCCTACCTGTCCTAGCCAAGTGTATAAATTAACTAAAGACAAAGTCAGCTGAAATTGATTGTCCCTACCTTATAGCGAAGTGTATAAATTAATTAAAGACAAAGTCAGCTGAAATTGATTGTCCCTACCTGTCCTAGCCAAGTGTATAAATTAACTAAAGACAAAGTCAGCTGAAATTGATTGTCCCTACCTTATAGCCAAGTGTATAAATTAACTAAACACAAAGTCAGCTGAAATTGATTGTCCCTACCTGTCCTAGCCAAGTGTATAAATTAACTAAAGACAAAGTCAGCTGAAATTGATTGTCCCTACCTTATAGCCAAGTGTATAAATTAACTAAACACAAAGTCAGCTGAAATTGATTGTCCCTACCTGTCCTAGCCAAGTGTATAAATTAACTAAAGACAAAGTCAGCTGAAATTGATTGTCCCTACCTGTCCTAGCCAAGTGTATAAATTAACTAAACACAAAGTCAGCTGAAATTGATTGTCCCTACCTGTCCTAGCCAAGTGTATAAATTAACTAAACACAAAGTCAGCTGAAATTGATTGTCCCTACCTGTCCTAGCCAAGTGTATAAATTAACTAAAGACAAAGTCAGCTGAAATTGATTGTCCCTACCTTAGAGCGAAGTGTATAAATTAACTAAAGACAAAGTCAGCTGAAATTGATTGTCCTTACCTTATAGCCAAGTGTATAAATTAACTAAAGACAAAGTCAGCTGAAATTGATTGTCCCTACCTGTCCTAGCCAAGTGTATAAATTAACTAAACACAAAGTCAGCTGAAATTGATTGTCCCTACCTGTCCTAGCCAAGTGTATAAATTAACTAAAGACAAAGTCAGCTGAAATTGATTGTCCCTACCTGTCCTAGCCAAGTGTATAAATTAACTAAAGACAAAGTCAGCTGAAATTGATTGTCCCTACCTTAGAGCGAAGTGTATAAATTAACTAAAGACAAAGTCAGCTGAAATTCTGTATTTTATTTTTAATCGTAATTTGAACAAATAAGAGTATGGACATTTTAATTTGTTCAACAACCATAACACAATTTTAATTATGAGACATGATTTTGGCTCACATCATAAACATGAACTTTTACATATCGCATTATCACAGAACGTATGACATTTGCATACTTCTAAATAATATCTTTATCTGTACCAAGAATGCCATTTGAGTTTAAGTCTTACCTGTAGTTAGAGAAAAAAACTTTCGAAATTTATTATTGACTTTATAAAAGGTTACTCAAATTGTTTGGCTAATAAAGAAGGCAAATATCATTGTTTTCAAAAAAAAAGATTTTTGTACAAATATTCATTTGTTCCCATTTGAAAAGTTGCAGTCTAAAAATACAAGTGCTGCAGGGACACAGGATCTGGATTGCACAATAAGGAAAATGTCTCCACAGATCTGACTTGGCTGTCATTCCTCAGTTAAATTCCACTTGCATATTGATGCCACAAACACTATAGAAATGAAAAGAGCAAAAAAAAAAAAAAAAAATCCTTTAAAGTATTTACACCTACAGAGCTGTTGTAACTCTGGTATGTACTGAAGCTGCAATACACCACTACACCAGAGAGATCTTTGTAGCTTGATGAATTAAGTGTATGACTCAGGTCCCAGGTTTGAATCCTAGCCGAGGCAATGAAGTAGGTAATGACCACATCCACATTGGTGTCCATGTTGGGACTCAGAAATACTATTAAGCCTATATCTCACTAGCATTGTTGTAAACCCCGAAAACTCCAGGATGAGTTCTCTTTTGGAGAGAAAGTACGTGACCCTAGTAAATGCTAGCTGCAATATACAGCTAGGACAGACAGATCTTCTTAGCTCAACAGGTTGAAAGCAAGACTAGTAAGTCAGTGGTCCCAGGAATTCCAAGCAGAGGCATTGAAATAAATTATGACCTCTGCTATAGTATTATTAAATATCTCAAAAGAAATTTCAGAAAATGGTTTTCCTTGTGTGAAGACCAAAATACAATTCCAGTAAACAAATAATTTTGGGTGAAGAATGACCTTTAGATTACAGATATAAATTTTATGGGCATGCCAAGATACGTGAGGTTGATAATATAATTATGTAATATAAGGGGGAGGGGCTTGATCTTTATGATTTTCACATAAAACATGTGCCTTTCTTCTTTGAACCTCTTCATATATTTACTAATTGATTTATCTAGTGTTTGACCATTTTTTTCTTTCACCCTTCAATATCATTACTGCATTTGCTCTAATTCTCCAACATCACAAACTATCAACAAAATTGAACAACATTGAGCATATAGTTATGGTAAATATAAAAGCATGGAACTAAAACGTTTGGAATGGTGTAATAAATGTGTTCACTAATGTAAAAAGGATGCAAAAGCATGATAATTCCATTCCGGAATCAGAACCGGTAAAAGACATTATATACTAACAAAGCAGTTAATAAAAAAATCATTTAAAATCTACATTGTGAGTTAAAAGTACATGTATAGCTATAGGTTTTGTTTGATACTGTTTTATAAGGGACATGGTTAATGGATATTTTATAGAAATTCCTTCATAACATAATGTTTTACTATAGGACTATTTATTATTGTAATTCAGACTAGCAGTGTCCAAAAAAAAAAAAAAAAAATTTTCAAAGAACGAAAAAACTTTATAACTTGAAAGCTATCCTAAAAGTTACCCTTGAGCAATAAAAGACAGAAAGAAATGAAAAAGAAAATAAAATCCTCGGATTGAAAGTGACCAGACACATATTTTCACATTCTTTTCATCATTTACAACAATTTCAAATAATTGTACAAGAAAAGGAAAAGGAATGCAAAATACTGAGCTTTTTTTTCTTTTTTTTTCAATGAAGTAAATGAGGTTAAGTTGGTCAATGTGCCCAAGAATATAATCTCACATTTTGAAGCAAAAAAACATTGAATTGAACCTCGTCACCACTTTCTACAGCATGACTATATTACATTCAAATAAGCATAATCATTTTAAAATGATGTACATAACATAACAAATATATGGCATTTAATAGACAATGGCAGCAAAACTCCTACACAGACATAAACCTCTCATAGTCATTAAATCTGTTTTCAATTAAAACAAAACAATGATAAAATTTTAACAATAGATAACAAGATTTGATACATTATAACAATGAATTAATAGTCTCCTCATCAAATTTTTCTTGATCGTCATAATCATTTTGTGATGATAAATATATGACAAGTCTACTAATTAAAATTGGAAATCTTACTACAGGTACCATCGGAAAGAATACAGATGTATATGACAAAAACTCTAAACCCAAAGGTCTCTATTTAACCTTAAGTACATGAGATAGACATTCCAAACCCAATGATACATGTGTATCAGCTGTGTAACTAGAAATTAATTAGCAGAATCGTCAATGATATTCCAACTAGTATTTTTATCCTTGATTTTAAAAAATACTACTGGAACAGCGAAGTCATGTAGTGAATATCAAACAGCCAAACTGATTTAAGTACACATGTCCTAAACAAGAAATCCCAGATGGATCTTGGCACCCACCATGGTTTGATCATTACCAGTTCTTTCATAATTTTACATTTTCCATTCTTTCTTTTTCTGTCAAAGTCTAGCATGGCTGCCGGCCAGACATTTTGTTTTCTGAAGAACACAATACATGATAAGTAACCAAGGGGAACCTACATCAAAAATTTGATAATTTCAATAAACAGCACTAACAAATTATAACTTGAAATAAAAAATGGCCACCTGATTGCCATATTGTATTTTTGATTAGTCCCAAAATGGACAATACAAGGGACCAAGAGGAATCTACATCTGGTATGTCTCAAGATTGTGATACCAAGAACAGTTTATAAAATGACGGATGAAGGGCAATTTGAATAGCTCATCCTCTGATGAGGGTTGGCTAAATAATGCCACAGATTTTGTTTTAAATTTTGAAGACTTCTTGTTGTGGAACATTGATAATTCCATACAATCATTAATCAATGATAACATGATTATATATTATATACAATAAAGAATATGAGATCAACATTAATTCAAACAAACTACCCGTCTATAGTAGCTTACAGCACTATCATCTCCAACCACCTCCCCTATAACAAATCTCTGCCATCCGTGTCCTGATAACCAAGAACAGTAATGATTTCTCCCTAAAACCAATATCACATCAACTGATTTTAGACTAATGATGATGAAATAAACATGAAAATAACTTATACATATAATATTGCAAAATATCCACAGCAATGAGATATTTTAATCCATGTGATATCAATTTCAGCCCAAAATAATAAATGAAATAATCGTCACAGTTTTTTGTGTGGTTCAGTGATGGTGCTATATCTACCTCTATTAAACACATAGAAATTTACTATTTCCCTTTCGTCATTTAAATAGTATAAATGGTTTAACCATCATTATATCAGGATATTAAGGAATATCAACAAAATCATAGTATCACTTTACATTTAGAAAATATTCTTCACTAAGGATAATTTATTCAATGTTTCACATTTCAAAAGGAGAAGACTTTACTCCAAATATTTGGAAAAGAACAGATGTGATTTGAAAAATTTTAAAAAATCTAAATTCCAGAAGAAAATTAGTATATTCTTTAAAGACAGGAATTTTCAGTAAGAAAATAAGTTGTTGCTATTTCAATTGATTTTGTTTATAAACCACACTGATATTAAATTATTACATGTATAAATAAAAATCTGCTCTATGCCATTTTTATTTTCTGTTTCAAATGTTGAAAAAGCTAAGGAAAAAGCTAATACATTTTGTGTGTATCACAGATAATGAATTTCAGTATAGGAAACCATATTCAGTAAAAAGAAATGAACCCAGAGTAAAAATCCTGTAAAATTAATTATTTTCGTGCGGTTTTTATTTTCATTTAATTTGTTGATACTCTTATCTATGCATTTGTATTTCCAGTGTCAAGAAGATGACGAAAAAAAAAGAATTGTCATAAAATTTATCACTAAATTGTAGTGGATTTCGTGAGTAAATTTATCCACAAAATCAATTGCCAAGAAAAATGCAGATTTTTCAAACCAGATCAAGGAATTTGAACCCAATGAAAATAGAAGCATATCATTTTAATGTACTTAAATATTAATTCCTAGGTTTTGTAATAAGCGCATCTCCTAATCTTTTTTAAAAGTTATACATGTTTAATATTCAACAAGGGTTTACTGAAATACAGTTAATATATCTATCACATGATATCGAGAAGAAAAATTGATACACAACTGACTGGGAATGTGAATGTATACCAGTAATATTAACATTTAATGACAAAATGTTACAAAGACACAAAATTTCCTTATCTCATTGGGAAAACTATGAGTTCATATAACAAACTAAAGCAATGTTGTCAAAATGAACATTGTGAAATATTGGATGAAGACATTTCAGATATTTATTAATCTAAGTCTTAGTGAACTTTTTCATTGAAAAATTAGGAAAGCTTAGATTTCTCAGCATATCATGTATTTAACAAAGATCTTAATTTTTTTCCTCAACATACTATGGTCAGATAATGTTTAACATTTCATACAAGCTGGAGAAAATTAAATTCACATCAGCATTTACAAATATTATTTAAATTCAAATATTGTTATGTATTTTATGACTAACAAAATCTGCTTTCTACATATCCTTTGTTTTTGAAAATTTTGAAAAGTGATACTTACGAATGCAATCATAAATCTTTATATTTTACAAAAATCCAAAACAAAATTGATTGTAAACTTGAATTGGCAATTCGAAAAAAACTTGAATTTTGGGGAAACAGCATCTTTGTTTACAATGTTGTCTAAGCACCTTGTGTTATCCTTGAACAATGTTGTAATGAAATATTTATTGCAATATTTATCAAAATAGTAAAAGTTACACAACTACTTTTTTCTTTTCAACACATAATATAAATTTCTAATCTATCAATTTCCCTGATACAGCAGTTTTGATAAAAGACTGATTGTAAAACAAAAAAATTTGCAATATTTTGGCATTTACAATACATTATGTATCATTCTAAGACTATTGATCAGCATATAACAATGAAGGACTTTTTATTTGCAGCAGAAAAGTTTCTTTAATTGTCATCCTTAAACTAATTATGTAATCTTTCTATCATGCAAATTATTTGAATTACACTAAAAAAATCTCTCCAATAATTTCATATTCTTTCATATTTAATTGATTAATAACAAAATTTTACCTTGTTAATGTAAATTTCGCCTTCACACACCATAGTAGACACTTTGTATTATTCAATAATTAGATGTGGATGAACAATTTAACATCTATTTGAAATACCTCTTTTAATCTACTGATAAATTTATGATGACACTTACCAATTTCATCAAGGTAATTCACCATTTCCAATATTGGTAAATGCATATTTAAAAGTTTTTCCACACTTAACTGGAGCAAATTTTCGTATACACATTGATCGGTGGGAGACTGATAATATCTCTATATGGTAGAAGGGGCATAACTCTTCCAAGAATAAATAAACATTTTTTTTTTTTAAGTACAAATTAAAACCTATTAAAATAATCTGACACAACCAGTAACATCCAATTTTCAAATTCATTCATCAAAATCTGCCCTCTTATCCATTAACAATCAATTTGTAAATTAAATCTAATTCTAAGAATTAATTCTTGTTCCTCTTGTTACAGTGGTTAGCCAGGCTTCAACATTTTGTTATATAACAACAGAAAACATTTTAACAACAACTGTCCTATCACAGTATTGTACACTTCCGTTTCTTCCCTGTGTGTCGGCGTTCCCTTTTGGGATCCTGAGGTTGACTGCGTATCACACGTACAAGTTCATGGAAAGCTTTATCGACGTTTAGTGGGGGATCTTTGGCACTTGTTTCTATGTATTGTAACTGCAATAGACCAACATAAAATACAACATCATACAAAACACATTCCAAGGTATTACATAAGTTTCTATGTACAATTTATCAAACATTGACCGTAAAACTTTCTGAAGGCTTTTTCTTTATTTAATTAATTACTTAAATTTTTTCTTTCTTTTTTTTTGCTGTTAAATTTCAAGTTTTAAAACTTTTACTTTCATAAATAAGCTTGGCTTCCTTGAATTTCTTCAACTAAAAGTTTTAAAGCTTTCGTATATAATCCTTACTCCATAAATGAAAAGTTCTTGTTCATGCTTCACAGGGGAAACTCTTATGTCCTGACTGAACTGAAAAAATCCAACCCTTCAAGCTCCCAAACTTAAACTTGAGAGCTGTGTCTTTGTTTTATCTTGAGACTTAACTCTGACTGTCAACTATATACCTCTAGTGACTTTCTTATTCAAAGACACTGAAATATAAACCTTGTCTGTGTTTAAAGACTGCAAATTATCCCCATCCTGCATTTCACTTAAGAAGTGAGTTAACTTCTTAACTTGCTTAAGACTTGGATTCTAAGCTCTCTCCTGAATCTGCTTAAGACTTAAAACTGTGAGCTCTCTCCTCACTCTGCCTAAGACTTAAAGATTTTGAGAAATCCTCTACCTTAGACTGAAGTTGTTAGCTTACTTCCTTTGCTCTCTAGGACTTAACTGTCTTAAAATGTGTCTGGAGTCCTCTCCTTATCTAAGGCTAACCTTAAAATGCAAAGTGTACTCTCACCTTAGGCATAACCTAAGATGTCTGAGTTATTGAGACATATACCAAAATATCATTAGTTTCAAGAATTTCCCTCAGATAGAAATGATTTTCAGACTCACTCTAAGGTGTCGAGCCAAGTTGTTACCCTGTTCGTCAGAAACTTTGCGTAGAGTCACCAAGTCCACTTTGTTAGCCACTAGTACCATAGGATAGTTATCTCTGCAATAAATAAAACCTCAAAACATTAGAAGCTGTACAATACATACTGATTCTGAATGTATGTCATTAATTATGTTCATCAAATGAATGCCTTATTCAGTTAATACATTCATGTAATATGTTTGCATATTACAAGTATAATTTAGCTTATTGTGACATCACTTCAGAAAACAAATGATATTACACATTCACAGACAGCAGTATGATGTAACAATGGAGACCATATGTATAGAGTGGACAGGATTTCATGCTGGACTTTAAAATGTCCATTTTTGACAATATTTGCCTAAAAAAAACAATCGGGTGAAAAAAGAAATCTTAAATTTGTTTCCACTTGACTTGTGATTTATGAAACAACTACATTTTTTTTCATTTTAGCTTGTATTATCATAAAAACTTCTTAGACTTGTTTCCTAAATTCAAATATCAAATGGTATATATATAAGTATTACCTATATGCTGTATTAGATCATGAAGCTTTTACCTACTGTATCAGACTTTATATACATTAAATGTGATACAGAACATAGTAACCGAGTAAACCAAGTATCTAGAAACTCATCACCACAAACCCATGAGTTGCTCAATTTATTTATTATTTTTGTGACAGACTAGTGGATAAGTATAACTTTGAGTTCTCTGTACTATTTTATCAATTAGTATTATAATTAATATATATCACAATACATATTCAAAAGCTGTCATAAGCTCCGACACACTTTTCTCTCTTTTGATTTTGTGTATTTAATTGTGTTTTTATTTTTTTTTTGTTTTTAATTTGATTTCAACACAGGTGCATGTAAAAATGTTTATGATAATTACTTATAAAGTTAATGTACTGGAGTGATGTATTTAATCTACTAAAACAGTATTTACATGCTCCACACAATCCTATATTGTATTCACTTAATATACCTCATACCTTTTACATTTCTGTCTCTGAAGTCATTCAACCTTAACGTCATAATTTTGATGTTAGAAAAATAAACTCTTTCAAATTTCCTCACATATTCTTCTTAGTTCCATCCCTTCACTGTAAGTATCATCTAACTTTCAAAGCTATTTTCTTAAAATGGCACTAAATGATCATGAAATCATTTTAATTTTCCTACAATTATCAAAAACTCGGGGTACATCAAATATAATTCCCGAGGTATACATAGGTGTTACAGATTTTATTGGGATATAAGTTTACTGCCTATCATAAAATAAACTAGTCAGAAGATAGACAATATACCTGGTCAATAAACATTAAATATTTACTTCCTAAAATAAACAAACAACCACATGATGACTCCTATAGTTTAATGACCAAATCTACCGTAATTGACCTTCTTTATGCACCTGCCACATAAAATCATGTTTTTGTTGAAAGAATTCTGCCACATAACATTATGTTTTTGTTTAAAGAATTAAAGCATAAATGTTTTTTTTCAAAAATAATGAAAGAATATAGATTTTGTTCATTTTGTACAAATGAGATTTCTTAAATTTCTTTTTCTCTCTTCAATTCCCATGGATTTCAAGAATTTCTTTTTCCACTTTCTTTTCATTCTTCAATGGACAGCTTGAACATTGAGAATAATGTTATCTTTTAACTGCTGTTGTTTGACAGATCAGATTGCTATTTTTAGACTTTCGAAAAAAATGTACAAAAAAAATTAACATAATTAATGTCCTTTATTTTGGACAATAAAATCAATGCATTTTGGAGAAGCTTTTCATAATGTTTTCATTGTGATTTAAGCAATGTACATATATTTTATCATAATTTTTCTACTTAAAGCCCTGCCAACATACTGCCTCCAAGTCTGGGCAAAAGTGGATTTATTCAGTTATCAAAGACCAATCCAAAAGCACTTGTTCATAATTATATACTAAAAAGCAATACATAATGAATGTTGAATTCCAGTCATGGGTTTACTTGTGGATAAATACAGCATCCTATCATATGTAGGTAATAAATGTATTTATAACATTGTTGACATGAAATCATTGACTTGGGTGGCAGTGATTATTCACCGGTTACCCTTCCTATGAAGTTAGGATATAAACAGAGGTCTTATCAGGCAGATTTATATTCAAGTATCATGGTTTTGATGGAGGTCATACTTCAGACAATTTGATATGTATACAGAGATTATCACTACAATTTTATATCCTATATATTATCTCTAGTTCAGAATATCATTTAGAATTTCTGAAAATTTTCATCAAATATCGAATATATGCAAATACTACAATCTTTAATAAAGGATCTAGGTACTTTAACACTGATTGTTTAAGTTTCCAAACCACACATTAAATAGGGTGAGTTAAAGGGAAATATTAGGATAAACCGAAATATTTTGTAGTTGAAATTTAATATTCTTGTGTACTTGTGTACCTTTTGAAAATGATTGGGGTTTTGCCTGTGATCAACTAGGGCCATTTTGAGGTGGTATGGCCTTGTAGTAACTGGTGATTACATCATTGAACAATATATGGGAGGCCCGTCACATGTTATCAAGAGCAATTACAACAGAAGAGACTGATCTGTGCACCAGCTTGCCGAGAAACACAAGGCGCCATTGGTACAGAGTGTCAAACCATGCACCTCAGATCTAACACCTTAGATCATCTAGACAAATGCTTTAACCAGCTGAGTCATTGCGGCCAATATCTTTTTAAAATGAATAAGATCATTTAAGTCATGGCAGTATCCTTAACATCTTGGTTAATATTCTAGCCAGTAGTTCAGAAAAAAATGCAGAAGTAATGTTATATCATAATTAATATACAGATGTTACCTGCACTGACTACAATTTAAATCACTTTAACAGAAAACTGTGACACATTTCTGTTTTCTTATCACATGTCCGTAATTCTGTGAACACATGCTGTGACACAGGTACAGAGGAATGTACATAAAGCTTACCTGGAAATATCAAGTAGTCTCATACAAATTATTTTGACAACAATTTTTAACATCAACCAAAACGTTTCAATTTAGGTCTAAATTTGTCAGGTATTAGAAAGATACTTATCAAATTTCCAGTTTCAATTGTTTCTAATAGAGAGTGTATATTAAGGAAGGGACCAGTGTGAAACAAAGACGGATTATATACCTATCCTTGACACGAAGGATCTGTGAATAGAAATTCTCGATGTTTTCATAACTCTGACGGTCTGTGACGGAATAGACGAGTAGAAAGCCATCACCCTTTCTCATGTATTGTTCTCTCATGGCACTGAATTCCTCTTGTCCAGCTGTGTCCAACACTGCAAACAAAAAACACCATCTAACATGTCAATGCTATTATTATGAAAATAATCTTTTTACTTTATTTCAAAGAAAGTTTTTCTGAAATGCTTTGATTCCAACTGTATCAATTCAAGCATTCTTTGTAATAGTGTCATAGTAAAATTTTTCAAACATCATTTATTTTCATGAGGCAGAGTTATCTGCTCCTGTGAGTCTATGGATTGTTACATCTTTTTTTGTACTAGAAAAATATGAGTCAAAACCTACTCACAAGAGTACATATACTGCACATTATGAAAAGACATAATCTGCCTCGCTGACAAGAATAAATCTAATAAAACATTTATCTGAACACTGTGTAAGTGATGAGATTCCATATAACCACATGTTTCAACATCATTTTGATTATTCTACTTCCCAAAACTATTAACTTTTCATTTTTAAAATTCTGAACATAAGAAGGAAAATCGAACAAATGTTTTTTTTTTTTTTATATGCAAGTCATGCTATTGCTAATATTAAGCTGACTCATTATCAATTTAAAACTTTTCAAAAGCTTTTAAGGAAATATATATCTTAATGGGATAAATGAAGTCATTGATTTTTTTGGGAGTGACGGAAATTCTCCCTACCTATCAATGAACACATTTTGTATTAAAACTCAAGTCATACTTAACAAAATAAAAACTTGTACAATCATATTTATCCAAATATAAAAGTAATATGCAACCTGCTTGAGAATATTGCACACTGAATATAATCTTATTCACTGCAACAATCACACCTACAGACTATGCCCTGAGAACCTACAAAAAGTCAAATGAAAATACAAATTTCCCATGCTTGACAAGTTCATACATCATAAAGAGTGGATATACTGTAGAATTGTGTATTAATGTGGGGTTTAGGTTTTGTAGTTTACTAGAAACACACTTGATTTCATGACTAAATACAGCTTGCTAAAGCCAATGATATACTATTTCAACAGTTCATAGAGGTATGAATTTGGTGGATTGAGAGTGACCCACAAAATGAAAATAATTCCCCTACAAAAATGTTTTCAGCGCATTTTATATTATATTGTGTAATCATAAAATAACCTTTGTGCTGGTGATGTGCTTTTAGATTGTTTTAAGAAGATTCATGAAAATATCCATGTCATATTTCTCAGGGTTTTCAATAATTTTGTTAGTAGTAGGCTGTGTAGTGAAAGTAGGAGGCTGTCCTGCCGTGTACGTGTAGTCGTGTACAGAACATTATTACGGAACTGGATTGGTGTAGGTGGCCAAATGATCGAAGTAGCCGGTCAAATTGGCCGGCGACCAGCTCTTATGGAAAACCCTGTTTCCGTTAGCCACATGTGTAATACAGCTTATTGTGATGTCATTTTAGATGTCACAATTAATACTGCCAAAAGAGTTCAGAGATAACTCAAAATGATTTAATTTTCTAAAAAAATTTAGAAAATTTAAATATTTTATTGAAATTCAGAAAAAGGACTTATCTCAATCAAAACACAGAAAATTGCCATCCATGTGTTTTTAAAGACTCTTTAAAAAGTAGGAAGCAATGTAAAGATTTTTGACTTAGCCCAATCTATGTGTTATTATTCAAACTTGAAATCATCAGATGTCCGAAAGGAGAAAAATATTTCTAAACTTTCATCTATTTGATATCTCACAAAAATCTCATGGAATAAAATCAGACAATAAATATTAGTATAATCACTGACGATAAATTTATCTTTTCATATTTTAACCACACATGTACCACTGAAGACGAAAGTCAACTGATAAGCTCATTTAATAGTAGTTATAGCAGAGCTGTTGGTCTCAAGTGGTAAGCCGATCTTGACAGGGTCACACCACACTTGAGTAAACGCCCCACACCAAATCCTATTATACATAGATTTCCTGTGTCATGGACTAATTTCCACTCTGAAGTGATTTGAACATGTTACATGAAAAGAAAAAATACAAAAAAAAAAATACATTCTGCTTGAGTCTCTACTTTGACGCAAGAAATGATGAATACGCTAAAGAACAGATATGGAAATGAAAGTGGCCGTGAAATGTCACCCGCCTATATTTTCCATTTTCGGTCTGAATGACGTATTACAACTCACAATGCATGAAATATGATGTCCTTCTTAATATTGACACTAAAGCTTCGAATATTGATGCAAGGTCAGAGTATTTTGTTGAAACATCCGGCCTAACTATGAAAATTTCCTTTTAAGATGGTTTTATTGATGCCTATGGCTATTAAATATTTCTTATCAAAGGAGCGTTTTGCCTTTAATATTGTAAGAGCCTCCGATACCCATGGTTAGGCCCTTTACAGATCAAGGAAAGATGATGGATTATCTAGTATAATTAAAAGAGACCGAAGTACCTTTGCAGATATAAATCAGAAAAAATCAGATATTTTTTAGATTACTACAGAACAAATACATACATATTTTTATAACTGTTTGTACCACAAACTTTCCTTAATAATGATGGTTTAAAAGTCAATATTGTGTTAAGTATCATCATTATGCTCACTATACATAGTACCTAGAACTAAAGTGATTCTTGTAAATCCAGTCCTGGGATTCCAACGCCGGGGGCTGTCGCCATTCTTACCAATTGGTTTTGTTTGATTTATAATCAATACTCGATGAACAGATTATTTTGAGGTGGAGTCTCAATGTAATACATGAGACATACTATACTGAACATTATGTAGGAGCCTTTATATCACCAAGGTATACCAATAATAAGAAAAGCACTAGTTATCAAGCCACATGTAATTTTTATGCAGCTAAGTTCATCAAAACTACAAATCACAGCAATGGTATTTCAATCTTATGTTTTTTAAATTCTGACTTTTTAAATTCTAAAATTTAATTTTGAATTCTTAAAATTACGAGAAACAATTAACTGACGTAAAATCAGCTTTGATAAACATTATACAATTGATTTAAGGTTTTTAAAACCCCAGTGAAAATCCCTGCTACACTGTGTAAAATGTTCTGTGTATTTATGAAATTAAAATGTCACAGAAAAACATTTACAAAACCATTCATTGTATCCACATTCCCAATATCACCCTGTTGTTGATTGTGTAAGTTAGAGCTATTTCTGGTCTTTGAGCCAAGCTTTGATTAACACCTTCCTGTATTAACTTACAGGTATAACTGGTACATTACTCTATATATATGTTGATATTGAAAATTACATTTTCAATTAACTATTAAAACTACAAATACAAGCACATGAAATTTCTTATTTGACATGGTCTACCAGAACCAGAAAAACTCGTTCTACATATTAATCTTACAAAATTTCAAAACAGAAATTGAAATTTTCCGCACAAAAAAATTACCCAATCATACAAACATTGTGATGATTTTACCTCTGACCTCTGAACTTGACCTTCATATGTAGAAAGGTTATAAATGACATGTCAGTAAAGTATTATTCATTTATAAACTTTCATCAAATATGTTATGTTTAAACAAGTACAATAGTGATGTGACCTGACCCTGTAATGATCTTGACCTTCAGGGTAACCACAGCCTGTATGTTTCATATTCATACAATTTGATCAAAACTGTTCCACAGTTTACTGGTACTGTAATTAGATACTGTAACAGGAGCTATAACATATAAAAGTTAGTCATAAAGGTATAAAATCCTACCTTCACCTTTGACCTTGACAAAGTGCTTCACATTACAAACAATTTATTTCTCATTATGCAAGAAATCTCGAATACTGATATTAGACGTAATTTTCCATTATTCAAAACGGGCTCGTTACCACTTTAGATCAATAGTGCATAAAATCATACTAGTGGCTAAAAACTCACAGAAAAGGAATAAGTTATGCATTTATTATTATGATGAAAAGAAGAATTTTTCACTTTGTCTTTCATCAAAGGACTGCCAGAACAGTGTCTGCAGGATCAAGATTTGATCTCTACGTACCATTTCAGGTTAACAGACTTTGGAGTTCCGTTAATGGAATGTTACCTGTCATTTTTATGTACATTTACCAAATAAACATTTCATGTATGTGTAACAAGAAGTCTGGTTTGTTTTCTTATGTAAACATTTAAGTCTCATACACATGTATCACTGTAACAAGACGTCGCCATATGTAAATAAACTTAATGTTGGTACACTCATGTAAGAACCATTTATTTATTTCAAATTTATCACATATTTATTTTGGCAATTATTCATAATTTCAAAACAATTGTGGTCAACTCAGTAAAACAAATTCCTCGTTCAATGATTAACGGCTATCTCTACATTTGTGTGTCACTTGGTCTGAAATTTGGCAATATTCTTAATGATCAACTGAAACAATTTGGTATTTTTTCTATGAAATTAAATACCAAAATACCACAGAAATAACACACAAACATACTTTATACAAATGGATCACAATTACCTCAATCTTTACATAATCGCGAGAACAAACTTATTTTGGTCTGTCTCGCATCCAAAATCAGACCTTGGTAAAAAGTGTGCAAATTTCAAATGAAACAAAAGAAGAAATTTTCCATTAGTTTGTGCAGGTTACAAGCTTCTTTGAAAATTAAGGGTAGAGAGGGTTTTTTTTTTATAGTTGCAAATAAAACAGGGAAGTAACATGTGATACAGAAAACTGGTAAACCCCATCCTTTTTATCCTTTATTTCACACTTTATGACACTTAAAAGTATTAACAATTGGTAACATTAGCTTTCTGAGAGATCACACATTTACATAATATCATATTATTCACTTCCTTGTTGAAAAAAAAAAACAATAAAAAATTGAAGTGAGATTTTCTCAGTACAATGTATTGCTCTTTATAAGAATGAAACTTTAAGTTTATTTCTGAATAAGAAGATGCCATCAGTCAATAGTGAAAAGTACAGCTCTGTAAAGATTACAAGTGGGAGGGGATTTTTGAATGACATCTAATCTTAAAAAAAAAATCATTACCTGGAAAGTTGACGTCACAAGGGCAATCGGGTTATATTT